TCACGCGAGTCAGTTTGTGTGCACACAATGAAACATGCACACAGGGTCAACTGTGCAGGCTACTGTGACGCATTTTTAAGGTAGTGCGTGGGCACTGAATGATTTCGAACGATGCCGGGAGTATAATGTCAGCCGTTATGCAGTACATGGCATCTCAACAAACTTTCAGGCATGCACAGTTCTTCGGATGCCTGCTGGAATCCATGCACGAGGGCGTGAGCCACATCAACAACCAATCCAAGCCATCACCAACGGCATTGATGACATCCCCACTGCTAGACAGAAGCCACTGGAAGCCTGGGAGCGTTTCGTGTTCTTGAAGAACTCGCAAGTTCGTTGACCCTGTTTGCCGGACAGGACAGGACAGGACAAAAGTCCGCACTATGGGGCATAGTCTGCGGCCACGCGTCCGCAACGCTCGACCCGTTCTGGGAAATGAACCTGTCGATCCCCTCCATAGCAGGCCAGGTGAGGTTACAGGATTGCCTTGACCTTTTCAACAAAGAAGAGGTGCTTGACGGAGATGAAAAGCCTACCCTGCTTCATTTGTCAGAAACATTGGGGGTGCTCCGAGGACTCCCTAATTCAAAGGTTCCCAAGCGCCATTGTAGTGCACCTGAAGCGGTTCTTTCTACAGCATAATCAAAACATACACTAGCTTAATACCACTCTTGACCTCTCCGCCAGTGGTCTGGCGCCATACTCTGCCGTACAGGAGGACTTTCATTACAACCTACACGGCGTAATCAACAATTCTGGCGGGTTGCACTCGGGCCACTAAACGGCCCAATGCTAGCACCTTTTTTGAGAGAGTGGTGTGGGTATCATGATTCTCAGGGTCCAGCACATCCATATGCGCCGCTCCAACAGCTGTGCGCCATCCTGACAGTGTTGTGAGGCATGCTGAGGGTGCTGTGAACCGTGTGGGGTGCCGACCCTCTAGCATTTGTACGCAATTTCGTCTTATCGGGTTCTATCTAGCTCTGAGGAAGATGCTGAAAAAGTAGAGCAACTGAATCCAAACCGGGAAGCTCAAAAGGAAACTCAGGTCAGAGGGAAACGACTTCGGCCAGGGTCTCCTCAATTGCCGGAGGGGGACAGGAGTCCTGAACAGTTAGATCTGCTCATGAACGGCGCAGAGAACACGTAGATTTCTGAGCGGTCGATGCGACCCCTGGGCGTTCAAAGAGCCTCTGAGTAGTCTGAGGCCCACCAGTGTTCAGCAGGGACTTTATAAAGCCTGAGGGATACAGCCTGAGTTAGGCAGGGGGAAGGGTGGAGCGTCAATTCAACCCACCTAAAATTCTCAAAATTAACTAGACACCGAATTTTCGGGGAGGGTAGGCCTGCATGTGACGTCTACTGCGTCCAATTTGGAGATCCTTACGTCATGTCTTATGGTCCAACCATGTCAAACAAGGTCAAACTCCAGATCAGTGTCCGAAGTGTCCTAAGATCTTCTTACACGCCCATTCTTAACCGCATTACCTGTTCTCAGGGAAACAAAATTTAATTTCAATTCGGGTCAGTGACCTTGTTCAACCGTCGTAAGATCATAGTGACCAAAACTTCAAGATGGTTTTGATATTTTTTGTTTTAATAAACAGGATTCCTTGAGGCGGTATGTTTCCGAAAACAAATGGCTCATCAGGGTCATTTTAGACTAATGACCTGCTCTGATCTTTAAGACATATGAATAACATATCTATTGACGCCACCACGACAAAGACATTCGAGATGAACATAAAGCAACCCCGTAAAGCAGGCACTAAGGGAAATTAGCATTTGGTTCTGACCTCCGTCATTCCTGATCCACGGGTGTATGGATTAAGTCGTAATCCTAAAGTCAATTGTGCTGTTGCCTCAAGATGTGTCGATTCGTCTGACGCTCCGTTATCGTATCAGGTTGAACGATTCCCTACGAGTTGCCTTCGCTAACAGAAATAGCCTGACTCGGGTCTGCCGAAGACCAGCGGTCTTACAAGCTACATCTGATCTGATGTCACAACATTGGCTTCTCAACTGTCTACACTTTTAATGTTTGACGCCGATACGATACGCCGTTCGGTAAGTGTTTTGGACAAACCTCTGCGTGCGAAAACTGGCCCTTCACTCTGTCGCGTTTTGAACGACCAGTACACAACTTCACGGCTTGGGCAATCCGCAGATTGCGGGTCTATTCGCGAGCCGTCATGCACGGGACCGATTCAAATGTTTCCATCAAGACCTGGATTATGACCGGACCGGATTTTCCAATTTGCCCCTCACACATAGCACTATAAGATGACAGGTCATGACGGGGAATGGCGGGCGACACGCGCCTTACTCTCGTACCACGTTTTGATATTACGGTAGAATCAAATATTTGTATTTGAGGTGCGCGCGGCGCACAAGGCGCTACACAGCGTGATTAAAATTCATCGCCAGCTAACGAAGTAATTGTGGCACCTTTCTAAGCACGTTGAAAAATGAACTGAATGCAAAGTGATGCACCATTGCCAATGGTATTTTGACCAACGGAAGGTGATTGATCCAAAAGCGACTTTGACCGCTACAATGTGGTGGTACTTGTGAATTATTGGCCGAGATAATTATGAGGTCATTAACAATATGAGGAGCCTTGATATTTGTTGTTTTGTTGTTATAATTGTTGGCTTTGATATCCATACAAAATTGCCTTCCCAACAGGCAACAAGCTACGTCGAAAAGCTTAGCACCCGCTGGTTCATGACAACCTATTCAGTGTCTTTTTCAATAAAAAGGAACACTAACTAAAATTGAATAAACAAATACAATAAATCGGGCCCAATTTGGACATCCATAAGGTCGAATGGACTAGATGACAAAGGTACGCAGGGCCATACCCCGAGTTCCCTCATATATCCCCAAGATTATTGCCGAGTTGAGGTGTAGGTCCTGGCTCCATGACTAGCAGAAATCCTAAAACTTACCAGAAATCGTCCCATTTTGCAGGAAAATATGTTATCTTGAACGGAAATGGTACGCACTATATTTACGCCTACCAGGATTCATCACTCACTAACCCCATAAGGACAGGCCAACCCTGCATCCACCCTGACAAGGCTCCTCCTAAGGATACATGATGTGAATTCCAACTTCTCAATCCGTGACCCAAGGTGTTGTAAGTTCCTCTGGCCCGCCATTTCTCGTCTCCACCCCATGCTGTTGCTGTTGTTGTGTGCCGTACTCTTTTACACGGACTGCTTCTAAGCACGTCCGGCTAGGTTCATCGAAATAAATTACTGATGAATGTGATTCTCTCTGTGATGATCCTTTCTGATCCTCTCTGCCGATGTGATCTCTCTGTCAGGGCAGATT